AATGCCATGGGCCTATCACAGTGGATACAAATATAAATGTTATTGACCATTTAGCAAATAAAGCAAAAGGATTACAATAAATAGTAAAAAGTCACGGTGAATAAAGACTGATCCCCTTAAGCCTCCTTTAATACATCTCGAATATATCAGGCATTTCTATTACTAACCCTTTAACTTGAGAGATGCTGTCTGCTTTCAAAATATCTAATTCCTTACCTGTATAACAGTTTTTAAATTCTGACTTGATGGAAAGATATAAAAACCCAGAAAGAGATCTAAATATCTCTTCTAGTGCATAAAATTATCCCCTTTTTTTCTATTGCTCTTGTTTTCTTTACCCAAAGGGCCATGGCCAATGAAGTGATTGCAGGTTTGAGTGTATCCCTCAGACATGATGCTGTCTTTGCACAATGAGCAAATGTTAACAAAATGAATCTCATTTTTATAAAACTGTTTACACGCTAAAAGCAGCTTCCTGGAGTTACCAATATTACTAATCACTTATTGTGATTTCTTAATTCAAACATTCTTACTTGGGACACAATAATATGAGTGGCATTTAAATATAATTCAAGTATTTTTTAAATCTTTTTCTTAACTTTTATTCAGTTAAAGATACACATTGAAAAAACTGATTGGTCCTTGGAAAGGACTCTTTATATATTAAGAATTTGTTATAAGAACACCTGCCATTGTGGAACCAAATATCTTAAGTCATGACTATTTTGTACAAAAAGTGGAAAGATGAACTGCCTTGTACTTTAAATACTCACCAATCAGTTTATGATTAAGTAGAGTAAGAATCATATTTACACATATATTTTTTCTCTTTTTCTCCTTTCCCTCAAAAGACCTTCATTCTTTGCATGTTTATTTGATTAGTAGTTCTACATTCCCAGGTAATTTTCAGGTTTTTAGCTTACATGCCACTAATTAATATTTAACCCCCATGCCTTCCCCACCAACCTCTGACCAAAGAAGTCTCCTCTAAAACCTAGAATATTTGAAAAGCACATCTTGGCTGACCTCCTACAAAAAAGAAAATAATGATAATTTGTCTTAATGTGATTTTCAATTGAGAGGAAGATGATTTTCATCACCTAGCAGTATCTTGATATAAGACGGGAGCAGTTCTTCATTTTATTATTTATTGGTGGGGAAATTAAATTGTTTTCCAGACTGATCTTTCTTCTGTCCCTTTCCACTAAGAGCACAAGAGACCTACTCTTATACATAACAAAGTATGAAAACACAACATTCACATAATTACAAAATATTCATATTTTAAAGTTGCCCATGTATGTATGTATGTACATTCTAGACAAATTTTCTCATTACTTACACCAAATTTTGGAAAAGAGATGGATAAAATAGCTTAAGAGATAAAAATTATACAAGATAGTGGAATTCATTAGGAATATGACAAATAATTTCACCAGTACCAGCCAAGACATACTTCAAAAACAGTCATTGCTCTGAAGGCTAATTAAAAAGATAGTTTTCTAAAAGAATTTAGATATTTAAAATAGAACAATATATGGGCTAGATCTCACAGGTGAAAAATATCTCCTTAAATTTAAGAGAAGCTGTGATTTGCATTTAGGCTTCAGTAAGATTAAATTTCAAAATGGTACTTTAGTTAGTGGTCATAATTAACATTTCTATTAAAGTGCTGGTTACTCTGGGAATATATATGTGTTCTTAGGAGCAATTTAAAACTCAAAGTTTTCTAATTCTGTTGCTCTGAGACTTGAGACATTTGTGTTTCTATATTTAATGTGAGATGAAACCAGTGTCAATAATAACATTTTTCCGTTTAACAATGAAGTATGTGTATCTATTCAACATCTATGCCTAAACCATCTTAAATACTGCTTATGCCAATGTGGGATGCTATTGACTTTGGTGTTGTCACCCGCCTTTTATATGCCTATCTGCCTTTTATCATGAGCTTCTCTACCTCCTAGATCACAATTTAATGCAATAATATCCTATAACAGACTGATAAAACTTGCTGTTGTGAGGCACAGCTCACATTTCCATTTTTGTTTGACTGTCACTATTATTACAATCGCCCGTCCAGGGTACAGCATCTCTTATATACTATCACAGAAAAATACTGAAGGTGTGCAAGTTGCTTTGGAAAATGTTTGGATTTTAAATACATATCTATTTACTCCTATTAGTACATTGTTCAGAAATATAACAGTAAAAATTGTGTCCTGGATACACCAAGAGCATCTATACAGTGTAAGAATAAACATGCAGTCATCTGGTCCCCCCCAAAAGAGAATCTACTGTCTATGCTGGTTGAGGCAACACAGAATATGACTGTATCATTATTGCACATATTAAAGCAAGTGCTCACCCTTCACTCAAATCTGAGGAAGTTCATCTGGTAAGAACTGTAGAATCTGGGAACCTAAAAGACTATTCTATGTACAGTGTTTGCTGAACACATGCATTCCTGCTGAAAACAGCAGAGTGCACTCAGCAGTGCATCATGTAATGTGAACAGGAACAGAGTTGGCTGGGAAAGAATACAGTGATAACTGCACCGTAAATAAGCGATTGACACTTTTTTCTCCCTTTGTGATGACTTGGAGTAGCTCAAAACTGCATGTTTCTTTCCCATACAAATGAAGAGTAATATTATAAGTCAATGTGGTGAAACTCTGAGTCAATGCCGGGACACAGCAAGAATATGCACCACTACAGCGCAGAGGCTTGGACTGCAACTTTGCACTGCCCAGCTGTTTCACAGTCATTCTCTCACAGCTTTACAGCAACTGTTATTTTTGAAGGACGTGGCTAAAGTTAAGCTGATCATTTCTGTACTCAGATTATTTTTTTTTACCACTCATCCACCTTTGTCTCACACATGGTTAAATAGAAAAACACCCTGAAATTCAATAAATGTCAGAGGTCAAGAAGAAGGTACCATCCTCACCATGAAAGCAACCAAGTTCCCATTTCAAGGCTGATCCCATACACCTGGTTACTTCATTCTCCTGTGCCTGTGATAGGTAGATATTGTAGCGTTGCATGGAGACATGCTCTCCTGAAAACTTCCATTATGGGTAATGGAAGTCATGGACACAAAAGAAGGAAAATGGAACCCATGACACACGACAGCTGCTCTGAGACTCCTGGGTTAAAGAGGCACATATTGTGGGCAAGTGAATAAGTTCTAATACAAATTCTAAACTATCAACTGTTTTTATAAATTTCTTTGTTTTGCACCTCCCCCTTCTGATCGTGATAACTTGTCTTTTGGCTGTGGCATTTTTATTTAGGGATGCTAGGAGATAGTTAGAAAAGCTCATATAAATGGGTACAATAGATCAAAATATCTCCTTTGATTTTGCTATCATCTTGTGTACATTGTTAGTCCATGTGTACAGATGGTCTGATAATGTACAAATTAGTGGTATATAGTTTCGACATGATGCAAACATTAACTGCCCTGTTCCCATTGTTACATGCCATGCATACACCAATTCAAAAGTATGTCTCACTAATCAACTTTACAAAATATCTTTTAGTCAAAAGAAATAAATTCCTCTGGGTTCTTACAAATAAATGTGTATTTGATTCCCAGTACATATCATTTAAAGGACTAGTTATACACAACTGTTTGTGGCATTTTTTAGTTGATAATAGGCACTTTCTAAGAGGATTTATGACCCAAAATACTCTGAAATTCAGTCTCTAGTACCTCTCTTTCATAAGTGGATCTGCCTGAGCCATAGTTGTCTATCAACTTAGCAGAAGTCCAGCAGTAGAACTGTGTACAAAAAAACCTGTAGAAAATTGCAACCAGAATAAAATTATAGAAAAGCAGTTATCTGAGTTGAGCAACTTAACATCTACTTCTTAGTTTTTTAAATCACATTTCATGTGTTATTGCTACACATAACAAGAATCATGTGTGAGCAATTCTGTACCTGTGTTTCATTCTCCCTAAGTTACAGATGTGCTACAAAAACTTGTCTGCTTACATTCTTTTTTATTTTATATCATTATAGTTAAAATGTTGATATGATTAAATGTTTTTTGTTTGTTTCTTTGCTAAGAGCCTTTTAACTTCACCTTTGAACAAGTTTTAGAAACACAAATTTAGAATATTTATCACCTTTGGAAAATCAGCATCTCTAACATAAATCGTTAAAAGGCCCTTTTGCCCTGTGGTGCAGTATTCTATAATAATATACAGTATATTAATAGTTCGGTGTTTATGGGGTTGATAAAACAGCTTATAAGACATTAGCTGTTCTCCAAGACGGAGGGAAGAGGGATTTCCTTACATAGAAGTTAATGATGACTATCTAAGTATAATGTTGAAAAAGAAGAGGTATAGTTGAGCAAAAATGCAATTCATGCACAAAACCCATAGCAATAAGTTTTCAATACCCCACACGGCTATCTGACTTAGGGAACAAAATAGTCGTTTAAATGGAGAAAACACTGCCTGTTGGGGAAAGTAATCTAACACTAAGTTATAGAGAAACATCCTTAGGAAAGAGATCATAAAATGATACTAACAGTTTACAAAGTGGAACTCTTCCTTGGCATTAATCTATAATTTTAACTCAAAAGAATAGTGAGGAAATGACAGTGCGATCTACTCAGCCTGAGATCAAATTTATCATGGCAACATCGGCAGGTTGGACCCTGATTCTTCAAATATTACATTGCCTTGATTAACAAAAATCATACTTTTTAAAAATTATAGACTAGAGATTATAAATAAAAGCAAAGTGTGCATGCAGTCAACTGCATCATATACAAGCAATATCTATGTTTTTAATAGTCATCTTTGGCAGGCCAGAATCCAGCTGGACATGCAATATTTACATATCAAAATCCATATTGTGTTCATCATATTGAAAGCAAGTGAAAATATATATGTATATACTGTATATACACACTTCTGTATATAGATGTATATACTGTTTTTAAGATATTAACAAATATATATGTGTATATATATATATAAATTAAAAGTGAATTTCATCTTTGTCAGATTCAGGTGACTCAGGCCTGGAAACACTAAAAATATCCTGACATGGTATCTGGGGAGGTACTTGGAGTGGCATTTGGGACTTGGGAGAAGAGGTCTGGGGCACGCTTTTTTCTGAGAGTATTTTTAAAATTTCTGCCACCTGCTTCTCCAAGGCAGTCATTCTGCAGCTCAGGAGCTGAATGTCCTCTTTGAGTTCGTGTTTGACTTCCTGCAGTGTGGTTTGTAAGGCTTGCTCGGGGATGGGATAAAAGGGGTGCTTGGCATCAGCCTGAATGGGGCTGTGCTCGAGCGGACTTCGCACCTCGCCAGCCTTATCCAAACGAAGGTCACTTTTTGTAATCCCACTGTCACAAGAATCTGTCTTTCTTAATGGGTTTTTGGTCACGCTGTTCTCTGAGTCACTGCCCTTGGGGTCCTCCGACAATAGCCCCATGGACTCAGCCTTTGTGACATTATTCCAGTCTTCCTTTTTCTCCTCATGGGCTCCCATATTATTCTTGAGTCGCAGCCACCCTTTCCCATTTCCATTCTTCATTCTTATTGGGCTGTTGACTTTGAGACTTTTAGGGTCAGCACCACCATTGGGCTTGAGTTCCAGGGCATCACGGTTGTTCTGCTTGAGTGACTCACTGGCTTTCACGTAGGCCAGAGATGTCTGCATGGGTGTGATCTGTGACACCGTGACCACACTGGTGCCGGTGATGGACGCTCCATTCTGCAAGGCGCGGCTCTCTACCTGGAGCTGGTTCCGCTCCGGGTCGCTCTGCGTTGACCCCTGATTCCTCAGCTCCTTCTGCTGCTTGAACTTCTGGAAGAGCTTTCGGACCGGGTGATCCACAGGGATGCTGAGCGTGACTTCGTTCTTCTGCCTGAGGCGCTCCTCCTCCTCTTTCTTCACATCACTGATTTTACGGAAAATGATCTGTGATGGGACAGAGATATTGAAAATCTGATTAAAACAGATGAATTTAGAATTGTGTGACACCATACCACATGTACTTGGTTTTATAGAAGAAACCCTGCAACATAGGGCGAGATCATTTCTGAAGGGAAAAAAATATTCTAATGCTATTCAACACAGGGAATGTACTTAAAACTCAGCATAGGACCATTGACTGAGATTATAGCTTACTTAATTCTAAGGGGAATGTAGTGAAGAGACAACTGAATAGAGGTACTTGCTTTCTAGTTGATGCTCTTATTCAATAAAAAATAAATATATATATATTTATATATGTGTGTATACATATGTGGGGAAAGAAATATATATTTATTTCTTAAATGCACTTGTAATACATCACTGTTTTCTGTGTTTTTCTTCAATATATATGATTCAAAACCATTTTAATACCATCCTCTGTTTAGAGGTCAAATAATAAGATGTCCAGGGTATAAAAGTACTGAAAGGTTAGACAGTTTACCCACAAAGCACCTGCGTGAGGTATGAGAAAGGATTAAATTTATTCATATGGTCCCAGAGGGCAGAACTAGGATCTATAAGTAAGAATTTCTAGAAGGTAAATACCACCTCTATATATACACTTAATTTCAAGCTGCTCTCTATTAACTGGCTAATTTGAAAACTCATGAACTTCACACCACTAAAATATTCAAGCAGAAGTAAGGATATTGTCCATGTAATACTGTCACTGAGTGGGAGATTGAACTCTTCAAATTCCAATATTCTTTACATTTTAAACATAAAATTAAATACATAGTATGTTTGATGTTAAATGAGTATCCACAAATAAATAAGCATACTTTTATGAACAAATGTATTTTGAAAATAATATTGGGAACTTATAATTCCATCAAAATAAATAAATATGTTAGCTACATAAGAAATGATCACTTATGTTATCAGGGTTAGAAGTGAATTTAGTAGCATAAGATTTTTTTGCTCAGAGTCCTTCTGAAGAACAAAATAACTGCAGGAGAAAGCTGTCGGGAAAATTCAAAAGGGAGTTAGATGAAGTGCTTTCAGAAACAGACAATTTTGTGATAATAGCAAAATTATTTACCTCCATCACTCTCTCTCATTAAGTTTTTGGTTAGATTAGAAATATATGAGAAGAGTCCCTGGCATATAATGGACTCTCAAAATATGTTGACTCTCTCCTTTGAACTCTCATAAAATACTTTGTATATGAAACCATTTTCATCACCTCTTGAAGATTCAGCTTCCAGGAGAAACATATAATCATTGATTTTATACTAGAAACCTATAGCAATGATGGTCTTTGTCAACAGCAAAGTGAGGGAGACAGCAGTTCTTTAAGAGCTCAATGTAAAAATTGAGATTGATGCACTAAATACAGCTTATAATGTGGTAATGATTTGAAGTTTAAGATAAATGTTTTCTAAATTCAATAACTGTCTATAAAGATCAGCATATTTCCCCCATTCTAGTGACACACAATAGTGAATCTTTTTAAAAGCTGTAATACTAATCTCCAAGTCTGATATCAAAGCTCCAACAGTTTAATTAGAAGCCTTTCAAAGGGTTGACATGTTTCTTATATTCCCTAAGTAAACAGAGCTTGTTATAAGACTTCAAAATATTAACACCCTTAAAAAAAGATATTAACACTTTCTGGGGCCAGACAGATCCAAACAGGGAAACACAGATACTTTATTCTTGTTTCATCCCCTATCACCGAAAAGGCACTCACTTTGGGTCTATGAACTGACATGAGGGAAACTAATGTAAATAATTGGGCACATCCTCCTTCATACTCAATTCTGATCTTTTCTGTTTTTTTAAAGATTGTTACTTAGCCTTTCATAGACATAGCCTAGTGCAATGCAGTGAGTGACAGTAGCCTTTTCACTTGGGAAAAAAGGAGCTATTTCAAAGTATCAGTGGAGGAGGGTAGGTAGTTGGCATGGGGATGTCAGATAAAATGCAGGATGTCCTTGCAATACTCAGGACATGCTTACAGTAAAAAAAAATGTGCATTATTATTCGTTGTTTATCTGAAATTTAAATCTAACTGGTGTCCTGCATTTTTGTTTGTTAAATGTGGCAGACTGACTAGTGTGTGATAAACAAGGACATTACTGTCTCTCTAATGGCCACATGTACTACCATGTGAGGCTCACAGTTTATGAAAGATTGGGGTCCTTGAAGACTGTGGATTTGTGGACATCTGATACCAGAAGCTTTATATTTTAAATTTTCAACATAATGGCTAATAATTTCTTGCAATTATTGTGTGCTTACCAAGTTTGGGATGCTTGGTGATTTAGGAATGTGATGTGCCCAAGTAAAACATCAATTTAAAAAAGACTTTTCCAGCTTCCTTGATTCCCAGCTGCACCCTCCCACCCATGCCCCAGCAGCCAAGATCAAACAAAGGTGTTTGGACTGCTGAGAACAAAGACTCCAAATGTCAAACTGTCAGAGAGTCCTGATGGTCTGCACCCAGGGGACAAAGCAATAGAACTGGATTGGCATATTTTGCCACCAAGGAGATGTAAAGCAACTGAGGAAGATAAAGATAGAGGTTTGGGACATTAGGAAGCTCCTAAGAGTGCTGCATATTGGTCTAATCCCTCTACTCCCCACTCCAAGGGATAGAGGATGAGCTGATATTAGACATAGTTCCATTGAGGTTGGGTGGTACTTATGAACATAGAGACAGGTCCTGACTTCTCATCTGGAGTTCGCAGAGCAACAGAACCTACACATCTACTGCCTGGAGCCAAGAAAACCAAGTGGAGAAAGCAGGTACCCTCACTGGAGTGCAAAGATTACTTCCTGTGTAGTATAGATGGGCTGATCTAGGATCCCCGTGGGCCCAGGAAGCCACAGAAGGTAGCCAATTGTGATTTCAACCCTCCAAAATCCCGACGAGGCAAAGGTGCCCCAATAAGGTAGAAGTTCTTATACCCAGTAGGATACCTTTCAGACCATTAAACATGCCCCACAATAACAGAGCCCTAGAGTTGGTTTAGACAGTTCAAAAAGCCAACACCAGGGATTAACCAGAAGCCCTCCAGAGCTCACAGACAAGCCCTTGGTACTAAAGTGACACACACACACACACACACACACACACACACTCTCTCTCTCTCTCTCTCTCTCTCTCTCTCTCTCTCTCTCTCTCTCTCTTTCTCTCAGCAACAGACTCACAGGCAACCTCGAGCCCAGTGAAAGGAGAAGCGGGTACAGAGGAAGGGCTGGGGGGAAAGAGAGGGTTATTAGGCAATTTCTTACCCAAGATACAGAATTTGAACTGGAGTCTAACTGAAAACAATAACACTTGCATTTGATCAACTACTTACCATAACCAGGTTTTTAAGCCAAAAGTAACTTTAAAAAACATTACTGGATTGGATGGAGTTTGCTGAATGAGACTGAATTTATCTTCTACCTTTTGACTGCAGCAGAGAAATTATGACTAATTGAAAAATAGCTATAAAAAATTTACCTATAGCAAAAAGATTATATGCACACATGGGTTATCTAGTTTAACTGTCAAAATTGCTCTGTGAGATAAGTCCTATTATTCTCCTGTTACAGAAGAGCAAACTAAGGCACAGAAATTTTAAATGGTTTGCCTTAGGTTGCACAACTAGTAAGTGACCAGGATACAAATCCAAGCAGCCACATTTCACTTTACACTCCACTGCAGCTCCTCAGGCTAACTTTGACACTTCCTCCTTGACCTTGTGAAAACCCAGATGGTTAAGTGGATGAAGTAGGGAGTGATACAGCAGTTTTACACCCAACAAGTAACCCTTCGCAAAGCATATGCCATGGAAAATCATTGAACAAAAGATTGAAGCCCTGTGCTTGTTGAGTAATTAATAGCCTTGACAAAATAAGCTGAGGAGAGCCTTAAAGGAGACAGTCTCTGAACTGTCCTCACTCTCAAAGGCAAAGCTAGTAGGCTTGTCTACCTGTGCTCAAAATGCCGGCCACCATTTTGTAGCTTCTTGTTCCCTTCAAGGGAACCCTTGCATTTTCTTTTTAACTTGCTCCTACATATATAACATTTATTAACTTTATGAAAGGCAGTGACTGAGGAGGGTCAAAGAAAGTGATTTTCCCTGTACTTAAATACCATCTTTGATGCAACTGATTCCTAGATTCACTTAATAAGGGGACAGGAGCCATTATCTGTTTGGTTAACCGCTGCATCTCCAGTCTCTACAACAGTGTATGTTACATTGAAAAACCTCAATATAATTCAATAACCTTTTCATACATTCAGCAAATATATGTTTGCAATAGGTCTATGAATCAAAAATAATACAAATAAGAAGACTTTTTCTACTTCTTTTATTATTTTACACTCTCTAAACAATGAATCAATGCTATATGTATCATTATAATTCATCATTAACATCTCCTATTTCCTCTTTTAGAATCAAATGCAAAACCATTTACCCTGGCAGCCCCAGCACCTGGCCCACTGCCAGGCAGAAGGAAATGGTTAACAAATGCTTTCTGAGTAAAAGCAGGTTCAGATCTGCAACCCATAAATCAGTCTCTAAAGAACTTGAGTCAGAACAATTTCATTTTAAGGATGTATAACATCCATGAAGAACTTATTTTCCAGCTGATTACAATGAAAACTTTCTTAATGTGAAGTAAGAGAATAAGGGCATTAAAATTAAAAAGAAAGAAACAAAAGGTGATTTAACCATGCTTACAAGGGTTAAAGGCTAATAATCTACTAAGGTGCCACCGCCATTTGACACATGTCTTGGATGTAAAGCACGATTGATCTCTGTCCTGTCTTGCTTTAAAGAGTGTGTTTGTAACAAATAAGAAAATAAAACAACAGGGATGCCTAAAGTAAGTAACTCACTGTATTTCAAAAACATTAAAAGTAGTAGGTCCTCTCTATAAATCCTCATAGTTTTGAAGATAAACTTTATGGCCCTTAACTCTAAATTTGAATAACAATGTAT